GTATTTTCTTTATAACAGAGTTACTGTGATCTGAAAACCCAATTTTCACATGACATTAAATTGGGAAAAACACATTTTCTCTGTACTTCATTGCTATAGTATAGAATACTATAAATTGTCTCAAGAGCATGCTAATATCCTTATTGTCTTTCTCTAATGGGCTAGCCATTAGCCACCATTTCTTTTTGAAAGTCAAAAAATCTTTCAGGAAATTTCAGAAAAAAATTAAAAAATCTTATCTGGCAGTGAAAAATATTATACCTGTATTATTTTGTAGGCATGGAATGAATATTAACTTCTCTTTGAATCCTGCCAAAGATATTTGGTGTTTTAGTAAAAACAGTCTTCAAACTAAGTGGTGACTAAGCAAAGCCCTTAGATAAAGCTTAGAATAGGATTTCATAAATAGTTCCAATGAAAGACATGGAAATAAGCAGGAAAAAAAAATCTCACACTTATAGAAAAATTATTTTCAGAAAACCACTTAAAAACTTAAATTAAGTTCTATTCATTTAAATATTAAAATAAATCATAAACCAAAATGTAAAGGAATGATAATACATACACCAGCTTTCAATGGTAGCTGCTTAATAAAAATGAGTATCTGAGGGTGTATTTTAATTTCATCTTCTTCAAATTATGCAGCTCAGATAAACATTCATTTTACTGAAAATATTTGCAAAATTACAATATAAATACATGATTATATTAAGATAGGATGACTATATATAATGTACTCTTATCTATAGATATAAAATGAATGCAGTAAATATAGCACACTCTTGATGAATTGTTAGTACACAGTGTTTCTCAGTAAAGTACATACAACCTATGATTAAGCAACAATTACCTAGTTTTCAAATGTACATCTTAGGAAGTTTTTAGCATGGAAAGATACACTAAATCCCCAATACACTTTTCAGTTGGTGAAAGTTAGTACTTCCATAAATTTTGAAATATATTTATTTAGTGGTTGTTCTTAGACTTTTTGCATTTCCTTAACTGGAAATTTTATTTCTTTAGTCTGAGTGTTTTAAAATAATGACATATCAGTTAATCATACTTTTAATTCTAGTATAATATCATGTACCATCTTTTTATTAGTTAAACACATAACGATTAATGAACAAAAATAATTTTTTTTTGGTCTGGACACATTTCCCAAATTAACTTTCAGGGTATTATGAGGAGTCTCAAATTAAGGTAGCCTCAACTGTCATACTAATTTGGGTTAGAAATAGTTTTTAAAATTTATTCTAGTCCTTAAGAATACAGATATAAACTCTACTTTAAAACTGTTAAATGTACCGGGATTTGTTTCAAAAGCATCTTCTACCCTTCTCCATTACACTGGTTTATGGAAAGCTGTCACTACAACAGTTCCAACACAAACATATGCATGCAAGAGATCACCCTACAGATTCTAACTACATAGTTATTGAAACACATCCCACCTATCAAGTGGCATAAATGTACATCTTCTATATACAAAAGGTAAAGTGCATTATTAAATTAGTGAACTGACAGATTGTCTGCCTGGACCACATAGCTTTTAAATAGACAAATGTGAAATTCCCCCATTAGAACCAATTATTTCAAGAGGTTCCAACTAGCTTTTCCACCCTGTCATTTATTTTTTTGGCCATGCTCTTTAGTGCAAATAAGCTTGTGTTTGACTCAAGTTTAAGGGACATGGCAGTTTGGGGCTTTAACAAGGAAAATTATAAAATGTGTGGCAGAACTTTAATACCTTTATAATACATTGCATCTTTTGCATATAAGCAACAGATTAGTGCTGCTTTTCAATTGCTAGGAGCACACTGCCAACTATTAAGAGGAACCCGTTTCCAAATTTCATATTATTAGCTTATATTATTACAGCTTTGAGTCTGTACCACATTATGCTTGGATTATTATGTGCAAACATCATCAGTGTTTTAGAATTATACAGTGAACTAGTACTTTTGGTTACTAACTTTCATGCTCATTTTTTACTTCTAACTTCCAGTTGCCTTAAGAGTTTAACGTCTTCAAGGCAGGGATTCTGTTATTTGAAGAATACCGTGTACACTTGCAGCTTCATTTATGTTACAAATGACAATAAATAAAATGCATATTGCACAGATAAGATTAGTAGCTTATTTTATACGATACATGGCAATACATGTACTAATACCAGAGTTTTGAACTGGATCATATTTAATTATGGCTAATGAGATCTTGGGAATTTTAAGTATCAAAAATCATAACATTGTTTCATTTTTCAATGACTATAGTAACTATGAAAAAATGAAACAAAAAGACTGGCAGAAGTCTTAATGATTCTAGAGTATATTCAATTGCCAGTATATATGCATCTACCTAAGCTGCAGGTTTGAGATGGTAAAAACTTTGAAGTACACATAAAGGTAGAAAAATCTGGCTGCTTAACTAATTCTTTACTTAAATATTTAATGTAAAACTCAATTTAATAATATTTATGTACAGTGGATTAAAGATATTTATCTTTAAGTCTGACATAGTATTGTATGTATGTATATATACACATGTATGTAAGTATATATGTATATGTATATATACATACCTATGTATATATAGATTGACACACACACTCAAATCTTATCAGACTAAAAACAAACAAAAAAAAAATTATGTAGCCCTAATGGATATATATGTTCTAGAAAGGAAGATTTTTAAGAGTATACACTCATAGCAATGGTGATAGGAACAATTGAATACTAGCATATTCACAGCTCCAGTTTGCCAAATTCTGATAGGTTGAGTATTATTAATAGGCACTATGATGGGCAGCAATAACAATCAGTAGTACAGTAATTCAAGTGCACATCACTCCTGCATATACCAAAAACTACTTTTTAGCAAGCCTACATAGTTATTTTACAGTTAAGACTGTTTAAAAATCCTTGCTACTTTTAGAGTCTCAACACCCACCACGTGCTATTAACTCTAGTACTAACATTATCTTCTAACCTTCAGTTGTTCCATAGTGATCCAGATGGTCCACAATTATGGTGAACTAATGAGATTCCTTCAGACTACTCAAGGAAACGTGAAATACAATCTGCAAGCCAACAGCAGTATATATGTCTGGGTTACTGATTGCCTGTTCTTAAGTAACATAAACCAATGAACATAATTTTCTTAATTCACACCACAAAGTTTTCATAGTGATCTTACTTAAATGTATTTGGGGACAAACTTTGGGAGAAAAAAATTATTAAAATAATTTGGAATGACTCATGGCATATAAAAGAAGAGCTACATCCTGATCTCAATCCATGCAGCCAGCTCTCATTAATGAGAGCGATATTTGGGGGTTGAAATCAGTGCTCTGGCTCTTAAATATGTTAGATGAACCTATTGTGTGGGAGGTTAATAAAGTCAAGATAAAAGACAATAATTTCATTCAGAAGAAAATATAGCCCAACAGATAAAATTTCAGTCAGTTGATACAGGATGGGTTGGTACACATATATACTATATTCACTTGTTTAAAAAATTACTTAGGTGTTGAAAAATTGCTGTGGCACTTTCTGGAAAATAATTTTTAATAAACACAGGTAAATGGGTGAGTCTTGTGTAAAGTCATAAAGAGCACCTTGGAAAAATGCCTGAATTTTCCATTCAAATATATTTATAACCAATCTTCAAATAATATTTTTCCCAGGCTGAAAATTTGTATTCTAAATACTTTTTAGAAAAGAAAATTCCACCTGGAATTAAAATACCTGTAAAAGGTTTATACTGGAAGTGTTGACATGGTTTTAAGGGCAGCCATTGCAAAAGAGCTACTAAAATATATTATTACACATGTATTTTTATATCAGTTAACTGGTGCACCAACCCCTATGAATAGTGTTAAAGAAGCAGCAAAAAGTATAACACCTTGAATCCATGATATATTTTTTTGGGGGAAAAAAAAACCTTTCACGTAGCATGAAAAGCTAAAGTACCAAGATTTCCATAGCAAAGCCACTGGATGAAGCCTCCCACTCAATAGTGACATAAAAATAATTCCTGAAACTTTGGAAAGTCAATAAAAATATATGGTCCAACAAACAGAGGTGAAGATGGAATTGTAACTAGCGTAGGATAATCAATTAAAACTCTCCCATGGCTTTGATATGGCAACTATAAACCGTAGGCTTACCACAAAATCTGAAATTATAGAATACTGTAGTAACTCTTAAGAAATATTATGATACTATATTTTTAAGGTTTAATTAGATAAGATTTGGTCCTTTAATGGTAATTTTTAAATAATCAGTTATCCAATGGACAATATATTTCTACTTGCATTTTTATAAATAAATAATATTTACATACACTTGAGGTCAATTTCTGTTTCTGTGGTAACTGTCCTACAGGTAAGCTGAGCAGCTTTTAATTAAGTAAGAATTAAATACTTTTGGGGGGAATTTGTTAAATAGAAATTCACACTTCCATTTAAGTATATGTATCTTTTTCAGGATTATGTCATAGTGCAATGTAAATCTTAGTTATGGTATTTAGAATGTCAGAATGTTGTCATATTTTGTGCTGATCTGCATACTTCAATAGTCTGGAGCAGTTGAAGCAGCTAAACTATTTAGCTCTGGGAAGGTTGGAATTCCCATGAGACTTATAGTGATCTATGTGTAACATAACATGAGGATCAGACTTCTTGAAGTATAAATTGCTAGAGGTATTACTAATAACCAAGGGCCAAAAAAGAGGAAAAACTTCTTCAAATGATAATGGATCAGTACTTTTAGCCAATTTATGATTTTAAATTTTGCCTGATGGAGTTCAATTTCACTCTAGTCGAGGCATTCTTGTTCTTCACCACTGGCCCTTCTGCCATCCATTCTCTTTTCTTTATGGCTGTTGCAAATTTTCCTCATCTCTTCTTCATACTTGATAAAATTTTCCCCAAACCTTGTCCAAGCTTTGAATGGAACAGTAATAGTATTACGGTAAGGTGGCCTCACCTCACTTACCTTCAGGAAAATTCCATATTTATTAGAGCCCACATCAAAGTAGAACCTTTTATTGTCCACTCTGAAAGAAGTCCCTTCTGGGAGTTCAAGTGGGTCATCGTCTCCACCTCTTCGTTCTTCTATGTCCCCTTCTCCATAGTCTTCAATCAGCTGAACCAAGGCATCACGAAACTCAATCATTCCTTGTGCTGGGAGGACAATAGTCTGTTCTTGGCCCAAACTGTGGCCAAAATAACCTATCATGCCAGTCCCCCGCATCATGGTTTGTCTAATCCTTAGGAAGCGACCTCGTTGATTTTCCTTTAGGTCTAGGTAATATTTCCTATTGTCCCTCTCTATATAGTCAGTTTTCAGGACACTGTGAGGATGCTCTTCGGACCCCACCGAGACTGGAGGGGAAGGTGCCGAGTGCTTCTGTCTCCTCCGGGAACCTTGCTCTTTGCTGTGGCCATGCTCTTGCCGGTGGCCTTTCAGGCCCAGGTGGGCGTAGTGCTCGATGAAGTCCCCTAGACAGTCCTTCAGCTCCGCTGCCACAGACAGGGAGAGGGTCAGTTTACTCTTTCTGATGTTGTCCTGCCGGCCTTTCCCTATCCAGACTTCGGCGATCTTTAAGAACCGACCCCGGGAGCTTTGCTTCACGTCTAGGTAAAACCTCTTTTTCTGGATGTCCACTCGTTTGGAGGCCAGCTCCTGGATTTCGGCTGCGCCCCCGGCCTGACTAGGGGTGGCTGAAGCAGCGTAGTGGGGGTAGTGGGAGTGCTGGGCCTGGGGATAGAGTCTACTCTTGCTTAGGCCAGAGCCCCCTACATTCTTGCCTCCGCGGCCGCGGCCGCCGCCGCCTCCTCCCCTTCGCCTGGCTCTTTCCATCTTCAGCTGCAAGTGACAAACAGACACACGGGGTAGGGTGGGG